TTTCTGCATGATTTTATTTTACTGGTGGTTTTAACTAGTTTCACTTATTCAGTATAGAGTTATTTGTCAATTCATTTGATTCATGGTGCACCGAAAAACAGAAACCTAAGCTGTAGGTATTAATTTTTGCGATTCCATCAGTTTCTTTCAGAGTAGATAAATACCATCTAAGGAAATTGCTGTCCTACAGCACATACTTTATGAGCTGGGTATGAGCCGAGAACATATGAACAGAAATTAATCTGTCCTTTTGGTTGTAAAGGGAGCTACAACTGGTGTTTACAACGCACTTCATTCATAAGCAAGGGCTTGACTACTTTAAGTATCAATCAGTAACTAGTTATTAAATATACATACATATTATACAGCTATAGCTGAGGATAAAAAAGGGTAGGATATGAAGATACTTTTTATTGAGTTATTACCAGAAGACATACCAAGAGCCACCTTATTCAATATAGATCAAACAAAGAAAAAAGAGGCTATGCCTTCTGTCAACAGAACTTGGTTACTTAAAGCTATATTCAAGTCAACAGACGAGGGGGGGGGGTCTGATTCTGAAGAATGGTCATAAACTTAAAGGAACTGCAGTGTTCCTGTGAAAGGATTTGTCTCTCGCTGATTGAAGTAGATGAGGAACACAGAAAATACAGAAATCTCGATTATCAACAGAAAAGAAAGACCCCAAAGTGGTGAAATTCCATGTGTTGAGGCTTCAGGAACAAATAGTGCCGAAGACTGGACGAATAAAACAAAAACTCATTTCAGTGGTCTTGTCGTCTTGTACACAAATGCACGTAGTCTCCTAAACAGATAGGCCCAGTTTAGTAATGCAATAAGCAAACAAAGCCCTTAAATAATTGTTATCTCAGAAACCTAGTTTTCTTCTAAGATCAATGACACTGAAATACATTTACAACGATTAGTTCTTTTTTCAAAGTGATAGGTTAACACGCATGGGTAGTTTTCATCCTTTACTTACGTAAACCATGCCCAGTTATTGTAGACTTTAAGGCATTATCACCTGGCTGGGACGGCCTAACAACAAAAGCATCACTTAATGCAGTTTATTATAGTTAATGGAGACATCAATTACATTAACCCTTACACAACACATTAGAGCGACAAAGAGACATGATCATCGGCATGTTCTATCAGTTCTAGACTAGTATTATCTCAAGCAGATGATGTAAGCTTCACCCAGCATCTAGTACGTTTTGGCATAAGGAACCATGCTGTGATTATTTTTATATTTACAGCAACCATCCTGTGCCAGCAGACATCTCAACTAAAGTGAGAATGTGAAAGGTAAATACAGAGGCTATTAACTTGGTAGCCTCTTTTAAGAAATAAACAGTTAACTTATAAGCTCCATTTAAAGCTTCATGATGCTCCTTTAAACAGATGTACGCACGAGTAGCTCAGTTTTCATTCTAAGGACAGTCCTGAAGGGGCAAAAACACTGGTCTCGGTGGCTAAATCGCCAAATTCGAAGCTTACTACGGTGGTGGGGTCTTTTCACTCGATCTAGTGATCCTAGGGCAAAGAGGTATTGCAGAAAATTTCTGAATAAATACATCGCTGCTTCAAAACGCGTCTCGCTGGGGCTGAAGTAGAACACATGTAAAGGTTATTTTCCTAGATGAAAAACGGAGATGAACTGTATCACAGTATTTCCAGACTGATTACAGAAACAGAGAGTAACTAGTTGTTTGAAGACGATGTGGAAAATGCACAGACCATGGCCGAAAATTTTGATGAGGTCTTCACCCAGGTACCTTCAATGGACATAGCTTCAACAGTCGAGGTATTGATATCCAACAGAATGAACTTTGTTGACATCGACGCAATGGTACTTTTAGGACATGAATAAACTGTTGAATTTCACAAAACCCTATGGTTATCTACGCTGATGATCTGGAAATCTGGGGAGAAATTAGGGAAGATGAAGACTAATGTACACTTCAGATACACCTAAACAAGTTGTTGACCTGATCAGAGAAATGGTTGGTGCCTATCAAAGCACGTAAACGTGTGAGGATGAACATAAAACATGCAAATAGTAACACCTACGATATTACTGGAACTTCTCTACCTTCAGTATTGACGCACACGGATCTAGGAGTCACAGTAAGTCACAGTTTGGAGACTGGAGCTGACTGTCACTTGATCGGAGTTCAGATTTTTAGGACCCTTCGGGCATTATTAGAACTCTTACCAAGATAAGTGGTGATATGCTTAGGCTCTTATGCAAATGCTTATTTAGACTTAAACTAGAAAATTATTCATAAGTGACAAATCTTAGGGTGAAAGGTGACTCAGGCCTTCTAGAAAGACTTCAAAGAACGACCATTTGTGTGATTGCTGTGATGCCTAATCTGATCTACGAAGAACAACTTAAAGAACTGAGCCTCTTCTTTTTATCCTAACACAGACGAGAGATTCAACTATGCTATGCAGGATTTTAAGAAATGACTTTAGTCCTGATCTATCTTTCTTTCCCACTACGTCGGAAGACCTCAGACGATATAATAGGTGATCAAAAAAGCAGAAGACAAACGTTTTCTTCTTAGGGTACTGGCTTTTGCATCGGGTAGTCAACCCTTGAAGCCGACTCCCAGAAGAAGTGGTGTTCGCAACACAAATTGAAAAATCATAGGAATTTACAAGAAAAGGATCATCATAAGCTCCCAACCTTCTATCTTTAAACTACAAATCTAAATCTGAAAATTATTTGGCACAAGCACATGAACTACAGTACAAATCAAAACATTTTAGAGAACTTGCTTACAAATGACTTCAAACATCGCTGACTGCCAGGGACGACTAACCTTTTAGCTGGGAAAACAGGAAACAAGTACACGTTATTTTTCTCGACCTAGCTAAAGTATATGACAGTGTTCCACCCTCAACAGCGACTCACAAGATCAAGTCATTCGGCATGAGAGAATCTCTGCTTCTTCTTTTAAAGCGTACTTGGAAAGCAGACAGTTTTCTAACAAAGTAAACAGAATACGATCAAAGTGGAGATCATTGACATTAGGTGTATCCCAAGAATCAATTCTGGAACCACTTCTGTTCCTCGTGTTGGTCAACGACCTACCACACAAAATCTCCTCACTCACCCTCCTCTTCGCTGATGACATAAAGATGTGGAGGGTAGTAAACGAATAGGCCGATTGTATATCTCTATAAAACGGCTTGCAGCAACGTGAACTCTTCAACTTGGAAAAGTGCAAATCAGTGTACATCAGTAAATATGAAGCAAGGACGGCTGACTTCCAGTACATGTCGAGCAGCCTTGCTATCACCAGAGTATCTACGGAGAAAGATTCGGGACTCAACCTCTCCGACACCTTGAACACCAGCTTCAACTGAAAAGACATGGCAACTAGAGTGAATGCCACTTTGCAGTTTCTGCGTAGACAGCTTGGTGCCCTCACCCCGAACTCTTCCTCACAGTTTTCAAATCCTACTTTTGTCCTCACCTAGAGGTCTTCAATATGGTGGCTCTCCCAACGCTCAAGAGAGACTCTAATCTCCTTGAAAAAATACAAAGATCTGCAACAAAGTCAGTTGTGGGACTAAGGGAGAAGGCATACCCTGTAGAACACCTGAACCTATTCACCTTGGCTTATCGCAGAAAGAGGGATGACCTTATTATGGCCCACAAGATCACCAATCAAGCAAGCCATGAAAACAACTTGGCCTTGCCTGAAACACAGCGGTCATCACAAGGAAATCCTATTACAATAGCACATCAGAGAGTTAACACCACGCTCAGGTTCAACTTTTTCTCCTTGATAGTATGTATTTTATGGAATGCCTTACAGTGGGATATTGCCATAACTCTCTCGGTAGACTCATCCAGAAGACGTTTAGACAGTTATTTCACTTCGCATAGTTTACCACAGATGGAGTCATTAACCTCACTAGCTCACTATCACTTCCCTTCTACCTACTACTCATTAAATCTCTTCTTAATACACCTACATTATATACTAACTCTTCTCTAGCAACCAGACCTATGTTATCTACTTTTACATTTCGGGTAATTACCATTTACCTTTTTCTCACTATCTTACTATTCTTATTCAAGCACCTACACAGATAAGAGTCACGACAGACCCTAATCGTCCCAGTAAACCGTAGCTTTCCAGTCACTCCACAAACTGCAGTTTACTAACCCACAGAGCATTCAACTCACTAAAGCTAAAAGTAAGAAAGCAGAAAATAGATTTCCTTGTCCGCTGCAGGGGCGAACCGAACAACTTGAACCAAGCCCTATGAACTAGACGCGAGAGATCAAAAACTATCAGTTTTCTACGCTCGCATTATCAATACTGGATAGTGGACTGGCGCTAGTGAAACTGAAGGATAAACTGGACCATGGAGGTAGGCAGAAGTAGAACTTGATACATTATACAACTCAATACCTCATAATTTATCACTGTGAAGTTCTACATGCAAAAGCTGTAGATTAAAGTTACTTCCACTTTGTTCCCAAAACGCTTTGTTGTCTGTGATATTCCTCTTTGACTGATGGTTATATTTTTACACACTTTCGCTAGGACGTGGAGTGCTTTAAGATCCTTATGATTTTGGATCGAACTCGAGCATTCATAATTCTAATCACGTTACATGTAGATACCCTGTGTATTTGATAACAATGAAATATATGACAGTCCAAAGGCATGTAAATCCCCAATCATATGCGAAATAAACACATTTATTAAAGACAAAATGCTAGCCCCACGTTTACTGCATGCGCTAATACTGGCCCCAGGTGTGAAAATCAAATCATGGTTTGTTCTAGTGTTCATCATATGGTCTCATATTATTAACTAGTAGATAAATATGGATTGAAAATACATAAAATTCATGCTTTCGGTTCATTTTAGATTTGAATAATCTATTCGACTTATTTAAAGAATCAAAAATAAAAAATATTGATTTTAGCAGTAGAATCTTGAAACAATTTAATCTTGCTAAGCTAATTTTTATGAACCGTGTATTTTTTTACGGCAACGCGGTGAATCGGAATCAGAAGTGGTATAGTCAAAACCATCGGAAGAGTCGGTAGAAGAAGTCATTAGATCACTTTCAGCATCCTCTTCTTCTACAAGTTCTGAGTCAGAATCATCAGTGACTGAATGGAAGACACCAGCTGATTTCATGTGGTCTGCATCATTTAGCAGCGGCAAAAAGTCACGAATCTGTGCGTTGTTCGGTTCCGATTCTAGTATCTGCTTAGCAAGAGTTATAGCTTGTCGAAAATCTTTTGCCATAACGCAATTTAAAAACTCCATGAAAAGATCGAGATTCGATACTTCTGGCGCATCTCCACTTCTAGTTATCGTATCAGAACGTCCAACCACTGGGTTATTTGACATTATATACTAAAACTGAAAGAAAAACCCACGCGTTCTCGGTGTCATCACAGAAACTTTACTGTAACTTGGCAACAACACCAAATTGTCGCACCAAGATATAACCTTTCTAGGTCTTAGAAGTGCATTGGACAAACAAACAGTGTTTGAAATTTGGTGGCTGACAAAAATTGGACTGTTTCTCCGTTCGTTTCAGGATTTACCGCAAGTAAATCACATTCCAAAGGTATTACTCATGTGTGCCTTCTATTAAAGTCCGACAAGTTACAGCTTTGAAGTTCAGTCCTAAATAATGATAGTAAGTTAGGTAAGTTGTGGCAAGCATTGTAGCAGCTGTTTACGTAAATGACGAGTTTTAATTTGGATTAGTGAATAGTTCAAGTGCTGTAATCTATTATAGGAACAAATTATGGGTGCATACTACACTATGAAAACCACTACTCCACTTGAATAATAAGCAAACCCGGCTTTTGTATCATCCCTTGGTGGGGTCCAAATCGGTCGGACAGTGAAACATTAAACAGGTGAGGTAAGTTGAGATGATCAAAAGTAGTATGACCATAAATTAAGGAATCTCTCGCTGCACAACGTGACTAAATGCAAGAGAAGTTAAATGATGTCGTTGCTAGAAATATCTACTTTGTGAGAGAAATCTCTGCCAGGTAAATCCCACAGGCATCTCCTTTTGAGACTCTTAATATCTCTGTACACTGCCCGGTAAATGCGAAGAAAGATTACAGCCCGCTGTAGTGTGTATCAAGAATATTTTAAGGCTCACCAGTGGAATTGCTTGGGCACCCTACAGGTTCCTCTGTCACGAAAGATTTTACTCCATCAGAACAATTTCATGAACTCTTATCCATCGTTTATCGCAGCTTATCATGGCAATCCAAAATCCGTTCGGTTAGCTTGCACACCTTTTTGTAGTGGGCCGCATCTATCCCTTGCGAGGCAGTCGTACTATACGAATGTCCGAAGCTCTCTGGCTGAGGCTGGGCCATAACCTGGATCTTATTTGTTGGAAATAAAGCAGATGGAATAATCAGGAAGCCTCACGGCGTGAAATTTGGTCATCAGCAATGTTCGGTCTTTTTCCATTTGGGACATCGGCAAGTAGCGAATACGAGGAAAACTCTATCCGAAGGTCTCATTTCAGTGGAAAGTGAGTGAAATACAAACAAATTTGTACTTATTGTCAAAAGAGCACTAGTATCTTCAAGCAACCCTACGGTCAGTGACTTTCCGAGAACAGTTCGAGATCTTTCCTTCCTGGTGCATAACCATATTTTAGTTCAGTGCTCAAAACAAAATTTTCGCCTGGTTGGAAGTAACTGTAGGTTTTATGAATATAGTTTAGTTCCATTAGTTGGCAACGCCTCCTATATCAGTTATTGGTGAAGTTTAGGGTTTCATATGACCAAAGAATACATACAGTTGTCACAGGTAGCTAAACTGCTGCGGTGAACATTCAAGGGACCGCACTTGTAAAGGCCTGACGTCGGTAAAAATAGGGACAGAAACTGTTAATTAGTCAGCACACATGCAGGTGTGACCTGTCACAATTTGTGGGAATGTCGGGTCTAGTTACCATGCTACCAGTTTGGTTCCTACAGACATCAAAGTTGTTCGCACAAAAGTGTAGGCTAACTTCAGCCTTTGATGTGCGCGGAAACAGTCATCCTCTCTATGGGAGTGCAAATGGTGCATGCAGTATTTTGACGGAGACCTATTCTCAAACAGCGGTTCATTGAACTTACGTATACTGATAACACTTTTCTCTTTTCTGCATAGTATATGTATATCTATCAGTCTGCTTCTACTCGTTTCTTTGACTTCCTGGTCTCATGGTACCAGAAGCTACTCCCTGCATCAGCCTCAACATGCTTTCTCTACAAACAACACTTCCAAGAGCTTAAACTGAATCCTCTCTTCGATATATCATTCACAACGACTGGAATTAAATTGCTTTACCCAGGTCTGTCAACGAGAATCGAAAACAAATTTTGAGATAGGTCTTAGTGTAAGTCGATTTTCCATTCAGCAGTGAGGGTGAGTTTAAGGACTTCCACTATATGGCCTCAATCCGATGGGTCTTCGCCCGTTTGCAGACCTAAGCATATGAGAAAGGTTGCTGTATTTTAGACTGAAAGGCAGTTTTGTTCCAGCATCTTACAGCTAACGACCATTGAAGTGACGGATACACCTTCACTCCATTTTTCCACCAATAAAGTGTTCGGTGGGAATTTCAAAATGTATATTGAAAAGAAAAAGACTGCCTGAAGCCGGCGTGTTGTCACTCCAGCTAAATGTGGCATGACTGACACTGGTGGTCACTGTTCGTTCAGGCAGTGTGCAGATAGCCCGTTTTGAGATTAATTCTAATGAATCGCCTCAGTTGTCGCAGTATTTTTCACTCAAAAGTTCGATTTTCTTGTGCAGTATATCGGCTCCGGTGACCTCGCTACAGTATTTGACCTTCTATTGGCTGGCCTGCTGTAGTCACTTCCAGTACTGTTGTTCTGTATGGGTTTTGCATTAACAATGTAAATTTATACCGAATCAGTCATGTTGTTTTGAATGTGCCATTATAACCATCGGATATGAAAGAAAAGCTTGTGCTTACCTATGCTTGTCATTTAGTGAACGGACAATTATGAGGTTAAAAAAAGTAGCAAGTTGTCGTCATTCTTAAGTGTGTTCCGACATTGCCACTTTCCTCTTTTTCCTACTTTATATCAAGGATTGTTTCATTATCAGTCACCTAGACATGTGGTAGGCAACGTGCAGTCTGCACCGTCTGTATCTTCACTTGCGTGAAACAGTGAAACCATTGTGTGTATGCAGCAGGAAAATATTATCTCGGCATTCATTTTCGTAGATATTTCTCCGCTGAATACCCCAAATTAGCAAAACATGCAATTCTTACGGACACGCTTTACTTGGAACTCCTGAAGCCCAAGCAGTCCCAAGCGGATGCCAAGGAGGATGCTTACGAAATAGGTAACCAGTAACTTAATCGGTTGCCGAGTTGTACGAAGCATGCTCAACCGACTCTGTAGGATGAAGGCAGCGAAAGAATGCTGTAGAAGGCCTAAATCCAGGTTACCTCTAAAGACAGAACTTCATTTAGTGGCAGTGAAGACTGTGTCCACCCATATTTCCCCCAACGGCATTAACTGCTTACAAACTCTATAGTAAGCGTACGCCTTCTAGAATAGGCGACTTTCCTCGAAGGCCGCTTGGTGAGTTGCTTCCAGAGGCTGATTATCATGAGACGCACTCGGAAGTCTGGCGCGGCATTGGTGATGGCAGAAACATGGAGTTTCGGAGCGGCAAAATGAAACGGCTAGTGTTTCACATGGTAGAGTAGTTTAGTAACGACCCGTTAGACAGCATTTGAGCCTCCATCGATAGAACAGTACAGGTTAAAGTTATCTCTGTGCAGAAATCTGCCCTTATGAACCATGTTAAGCGAAGAAAAATTAAGAAGCCGACCAAAATGCCGACTTCAAACTTGGCCATCCCACCGCTGAAGGAGACACTTGCGTCCAGTCCATCGGGCAACCCAGATTCGAATGATGCTTTTCATGACGCAAGGATACCAGTGCAAACGGATGATTACAGTAAGGGAAAAGAAGAGGTCGATATGCAATCAGTCTCTGATTGAGTGTGGTGTCCACAGCTTGGGACATGGAATAACGCTTTATCTTCCGCACCATGGAAGGCCGACAAAACTCTGGCCCATCTATTCGATAGGCTAACGGCCTGAACCTAGTTTAGTCATCCCTCCAATACCTTCTACCACAGTCTCCAATGGGATTATAGGCTCAATTGTTGGGTGGCATCAAAGGGTTGATGTCATGCAGTGTGCCTGTCCTGAAACAGTCTTATGTGGTGATACAGACGGTGACCGGCACACTTTGATAAACAGTTCAAATGGCATTCGTCTGCTGTCAAGTCTCCTACTTTCCAGTAGAATCTTACATGTGACCCATATGGCACTTGATGTCCTCGAATGGTTTCCCCAGTGTATGCCCAATCCAATCAATCTCCACTTTCTTCTGTACATTTGTTGGGTGGTAGGTTTTTGGTCGGCTCGTTCCAAGAGTTACTTGTTCCTTATTCCTTCTGGCTATATGATCCCCAGTATCGAGTTAGTGAAGGTGGCAGCTGTTGATGTGATGAATGTAGTTTGTTGGAAATGCCTTCCGTAAAGTGCCAAGTCTCTCAACCGTCACACAGAAGCACCAACCCAACTGACTGGCTTAGTGTTGAAAATCCGGATCCTGTTCACGCCTTATGCTGAGTGCAGTGCAGTGCAGCAGATTTCCATGCTGATTTCACATTAGTGAAGGAAGACCTGCCTTGTTTTCTTTCCGATCTTTACCTTGATATATTATCGTCTGTGCCGCCACCTGCAGTTGAAACGACGGTGCCCAGGTAGGTAGGTGAAGCAGACAACTTCGTTTAGACTTCTCCATTGGATGATGATTGATGCCTATTGTTCATGCTGTTGTTGGTTGGGTACGTTCATTACTTCCGTTTTCTCTACACTCACTTGAAGTCACACCTCCCTCCTCTGCTTCTTCTGTCAACTTGTTATCTTTTGCCCGTAGATCTTCGAGTTTGTGCTGCAGGGCGTTAGACATGATTCATCATCGGCGAAATCATAATATTCTCCTGGGGTCTTTTCATCGGTCCAGCCAGCGTATGCCCGTTTTCTGGCTACCCACAGTTGTCTGTTGCATGGTCCATACCATTCCGGTCCAGTTTAATTGACCACAATCAGGAAGATGATCGGTGATGGTAGGCGGCAACCTTGTCTTACTCCTGTTACCTGTCTTCAATTCAAAGGCGTCACTGAGCTTTCCATTGTGAATCTTTCAGTACGTAGCATCCTCATCACACAGCATATAGCTGGTGTTGAATGAGGTTGATAAAGGTTTGTCGTACTTAAGCCGTAGTGTTGAAGCAGCTGCCTGCCAAATGACTTCTCGATCGAC